GGGAGTCGTGTTACTAATACCACCCAAAATATACACCACCATCATCATCACCGCCACAATCGTCATCATCATCATCATCATCATCATCATCATCATCACCGTCCTGATCATCATCGCCATCATCATCACCACCACGTACATCATCATCATCATTGTCGTCGTCGTTATCATCACCACCATCATCATCGTCGTCGTAATCATCACAAACATCATCATCATCATTATCATCGTCGTCTCAAAAACCCAGCCCGTCCTAGATGATGATAATTTCAAACAACAAGAGCCACACACTCAATGATAATCGGCCTGATGTTGGTTCCAGTACATACCAGCGATCGTCTTGCGTCGGTATTTTTGAACTACAAAAAAAAATACCGATACTCTTGTAATTAATGTTAGGTACTATCCTTTGTGGTGCGGTACGTGTGTATCTATCTAATTGTCTATCTATCTACCTAGCTATCTATCTACCTATCTATCTATTTTATTTGTATTTAATTGTTGTGTTTTTGATAATTCTTATACCAATTTATCAAATTTGATCTTTTGATGTTCGAATTTGAGAATTAAAGTTGATTTCCAGTGAATTTTAATTTTATAAAAAAAATTGTTCATGAAAAAGAATGCCGGAAATGAATTTTTCAATTCATCATGTAGTCTGTAAAATTTTATTGAATTTATCAGATGAATGGATGGAGAGCTTGAAAAATTAATTAAAATGGCCGAAATGTAAAATGTAGACCGTACTGAATATAAATTTTTCTGAAAGAATATAAAAACCAGACAATACACACACGCACACACACACACTTATATACACAAACACACAAACACACACAATGTCTTTATTGACGGCCAAGCCGACCAATGAGAAGGCTATATTTTAATTATTGAAGATCCAACCGGCCAATGGAATGAGGTTTTAAATATAGCTGTGATCCAATTGGTTCGTTGTATTTAAATCGACCAATGGTAGCCTTTCTTGCGCGTTGAATTCTTGAACTTTTTTGACTTTTCACATTTTAGCTGAAGACGACGACGACGACGATGATGATGATGGCGATGATAATAACAGATGATAGTCATAATAATGATGATTGATGATAATTGCTTTACAAAAACTACTACTGCTACCACTACTGCTACTACTACTACAACTACTGCTGCTACTACTTCTTTTACTGCTACTGCTACTACTACTACTACTACTACTACTACTAATAATAATAATAATAATATAACTACAACTGCTATTACTGCTACTTTAACTACCACTACTTCTTGTCAATGACACAAAATGTCAAAATTATGACTTATTGCAGTTATAATAATTATCGTTAATATTATTAGTATTATTTTAAGTATAGTTATCATTATTATTATTTTATTTATTATTTTATAATAATTATTATTATTATTATTATTTGAATATTATTATTTATGTTGTTCAGTAATCCCCGGATAATCTTCTAGAAAGCCCTTCGTGTCTTTTGCTTTTTATTATTACTATTTATTATTATTGTTTTTATTACCATCATTACTATTTATTATTATTATTACTATTATTATTACTAATTTCATTTTTTATTTCATTTTATTTTTATTTTTATTTCATTTCACCTATTGATTGATTGATAATAAAAAAGTTTTAATAATTATTATTATTATTATTACTATAATTATAACCACAATAATAATAATTATTATTGTTGTTGTTGTTGTTTTTGTTGTTGTTGTTGACTTGGTTGAAATTAATGAAAACATCCTGATGACAAACACCGTCCTCCATCCACTCCATCCGTCCATACTGACTAACTCTAATATGACCAAATAATTTATTATTATTTCATAATTTTATTATCACTATAATTAAAACAAATAATAATTAATGTTGTTATTATTGTTATAATTGTCATATCTTTGTATAATATATTTTATTGTTTTATTTGTTTTACTGTTCGTTCGACTGGTTTCAGATCTGGTAATATTCTTTTTGCTTTCACGGAACCCTAATTCCAAATTTGCCCTAAGGCGATGCCAGCGTTTGTTGTGCTGTTGTTGTTGTTGTTGTTGCTGTTGTTGTGATGTTGCGATGTTGTTGTTGCTGCTGTGGTTGTTGTTATTGCTGCTGTGGTTGTTGTTGTTGCTGCTGTTGTTGCTGTTGTTGATAGTGACGATGTGATGATGATGTTGTTAATGTTATTGTTGTTGGTGGCGTTAATGTTGTTGTTGGTAGTGGTAATGTTGTTGTTGTTGGTGGTGGTGGTAGTAATGTTGTTGCTGTTGTTGTTGTTGTTGTGATGTTGTTGTTGCGATGTTGCACCTTTGATTGTTTTATCATTTTTGACGATGATGTTGTTGTTCATGGTGACGATGACGATGTTGCTGTTGTCGTTGTTTCGGATGAGAGAGATGTTTTTGTGATGATGTTTTTGCTGGCTTGTTGTTATTATTATTATTATTGTTGTTGTCATTGTTGTTGTCAATGTTTTTTTTTCTAGAAGTTATTGTACTGTAAATAAATAAATTACGATACTAATAGTTACTAAAAGAGCTATATATTTTTACAATATAGAGACAGTAACACACACACACACACACGCACGCACACATACACACACACAAACACGTATAATAAAATAAATACATAAAAAAACAAACAAGCAAACATAAATACCTACAAACATGCAACCAAACAAACAAACAAACAAACAAACAAACATACAAACACACAAACAAACAAATATACAGATACAAAGATACAGAAAGACCTACATTTTACTGGCTACCTTTACTTTCAATCACAGGTTACATAAGTTGTCGAAGGATACTTACAACACATGTAGATATTTTATATTCATATTTTATATCATTATGTAAGCCAATATGTTATATATATATATATATATATATATATATATATATATATATATATATATATATTCAATATTCATGTTCACCTGTTATATATATATATATATATATATATATATATATATATATATTTGTACATATATACAAACATACACACACATACATACATACATACACACAAACTGACATGCATAACTTCATTCATACATACATATATACACATATACATTTATATATATATATATATTGTACACACTTATATACACATACATATAATATATATATATACATATAAACATACACTTATACATGCATACATACATATACAATGCTTATACCGTTGTATTTGTATTAATAAGAGGACTCATTTAAAAAGTCTCTTTTAGGCTTTATTTGGTATTACACTGTGCCAAAACTGGCTTCTAGAAGCAAAGCTCAGATGAGCAACATTAAGTAGTTTAAAGTTGGGATTATATTTATATAAACTGCTAAAACTACGACTAGTGTCGTATTTATGACGACGACTTCTACTACTGCTACTACTACTACTACTTCGGCGACTGCCACAACAATAAGAATTATAATAACTACAATAATATTGATTAATATTGTTGTTGTTGCAACTTCAACTGCTACAGTTACTACACCAACGACATCAACTACATCAGTGGCCGTTTTGATAACGTTAGCGATTGGCGACGACTTTGAGGATTGAAGTTAAGTTAGACTCTTCAGAAAGTCTCATGAATCTTGACGTAATCAACATAATTTTTTGACGTCATCATCATCATCAGTAGTAGCAGCAGCAGAGGTAGCAGCTACAGCAGCCACAATAACAGCAGCAGCATCGTAAACACCATCAACATCGACAACAACATACGTCATCATTCTGTCATTTTTTATAATATTAGTGTTAGAACCGTAATCAACTTCATCTTAAAGAGAGAGATGTCACCATAAACAAGAATAATATTAAAATAATAACTATAATTATAATTTTTATAATTATAATTAATTATAATTGTTATAATTATTATTATTTATTATTAGTAGTAGATGTTTTATTGGATATCACACCATATGTAGAGTAAAATTTTCAAAAGGTTTAATATGACTGAGTCGTTTTTATTTTAAAAATAATTTATTTATTTATTTCAATTAATAATACCAAATTAAGTAATTAATTAATTAACCAATTAATTAATTAAGTAATCAAAGGTAATTAACCAATTAATTAAATAATCGACTAAATAACGCTAATAATTATGTTATAACATGTTAAGATAGAAAAGATTTTTTTGGAAAAATTTAAAAAATTATAAAAAGTTTGTCAAAAAACTTTATGTCAACAGAATATTTGTCTAACTGTAGATCGCATACAAACACGTTCACCTATTTACACATACATACAAACACACACACACACACACACACACACAAAGATACACACAACTACGTACACACGCACACAACACATATGATCTGATGATGTTTTTGATGATGGCAGATGAGTAAACTAAACTATCTGTAGCGAAGCAGTATCACGTTTCAGCTTCTCATCGTCGTCATTATCATATATTTCATCATTGGCTGCACCGTCATTGTGACCATCGTCATCGTCGTCCTCATCATTTTATCATCATCGTCGTCGTCTCAGCAGCAGCAGCAGCAGCAGCAGCAGCAACAGCAGCATCATCATCAGCACCGTCACTATCATCATCATCATCACAATGTCATCATACGACAGTTACAACATGTACAACCGCATTCCCTACCCCCACCCCCTCCAACATCATCATCATCAGTCCTACTCGGGCCTCAGCCAATCAGGCTTCACCTCCCCACAGACTTCCGGTTCTTACCTCAAAAAACCCACATCGTCACAAATCCTACCTGGTAACAGCGGTTTGAACTCCACTGGCATAAGCAACACAGGTAATAACAACAACAATAACAGCAATCTCGGTCCTGGTGGCATTACAACTGGCGGCAGTAGTAGTAGCGGCGGTGGCCACCACCATCATCATCCTCATCATCATCACCTTCTTCACCCTACGTCATCGTCGTCGTCATCATCGGCGTCATTTTACAACGGACTGTGTCTGCCGACTCCGAGTGTGGATTTGATGCATGCTGCCATTGCATTCCCGGGCGAGTTGTTCATTGGGAATTCTAGGAAGCAGAGGCGGGAGCGGACAACCTTTTCCAGGAATCAGCTGGACATCCTTGAGTCGCTTTTCAAGAAGACGAGGTGCGTTTTTTGCTGTTTTGTTATCGCCTTTTATGATTTAGGGTAAGTTATTTGGTTATCTGGATTGGATTTCAAGTGGATTTAGACGATTTAGCATTGTTGAGTTGAGAAAATGCGATTTTTTGATAGTTCTTTAAATGTTGAATTAGTTTTAATTTGCAAACAAAAATTAGTATGGCAACTATGAAATTCGTTTAAAAAATTTCAAAACGAAATGTCGACCTGTAGATATCCTGACATTTTCATGAGGGAGGAGGTGGCGCTGAAGATCAACCTGCCAGAATCAAGGGTACAGGTAAGGGGTGGAGGAGTTCATTTCAATTTTTTGTTTGAATTTTGTTTTTAAGAGAAAAGTTAATTTCTTTTTTTTCATTATTAAAAAATATTTAATACCCGAACAAATTTTTAGGAATTTGTAAATTGTTTTTACACTTATGTCCTCCTCGAAGGTGTGGTTCAAAAACAGACGAGCCAAGTGCCGCCAGCTACAGAAAGCGGCAGATCAAACAAACGCAATACGAAACAGCAGTGGCAGCAGCAACAACAACAATTCTGGCAACAACAACAACTCTAGCAACACTGCAACAAATTCTAGCAGCAGTAGTAGTAGCGCAACACACAGCAGTTCAACGACAAAATCAACAACAGCATCGAGCAGTAGCAACAATGCAAATTCGAACAACAACAAATCAAAAAACAACCCATCAACTTCGAGCAACAACAACAACAACAGCGGCAACAACAACAACAACAGTTCTTTGAAAATCAAAAAATCCAAAACTCCATGTTCATCGAACGGCTCTCCAACTACGACAACAGTCACCCATCCAAACAGAACTCCGAGGAACTCTTCCAGATCATCAAGTCCCGAGCACGTCAAATCAGAGGCAACAGTCAGGTACAAACACGCTCAACAACAACATCAGCAACAACAGCATCAGCAGCAGCCACAACATCATCAGCAACAGCAGTATTCTAACAACTTCAACTCGTTCAATTTTTTCCCATTCTCTTCAGATCCGTCAACGACGAACAACAACAACCTCAACAACAACCTTAACAACAACAACGGAAATAGTTTCTCCGTACCGACACCTCGTTCGTTCGATCATTTTCTTCAAAACGGTTTCAACTACTCAAGCGGACCATCATCATTCAAATCTGTCGGATCGTCATGGCGACACGTACAAAGCAACTACAACGCTTACCAGCCCATTTCTGATCATTTTGCCACCGCTTTCCATTCGGCCACAAATCCATTCAGCGGATATCCGACCAGTTTATCACCTGCTGGGATCGGTACTTCCTGCAGCGTCAAGTCGCCACCACCACTGTCGTCCTCAACTTCTGCATTCTATCCGTCGTTCAATTTAGGCTGCACAGGAAATGGAATCATGGGAGATAATGATTCTTTTCTGTTTTGCATTCCGCCATTGTCGGCTTCATCATCGTTGTCTTCGTCATCTTCTTCGTTAGTAACGTTATCGTCTACGCTGGTGACGTCATCTTCAGCTCTTTCCCGTCACGTGGCGGCTCTGTCATCATATGCTCATTACAATTTTGGTTACCCCCCTCCTCCCCCTCTTCCTAATTCGTCTTCACATTCTTCCTCGTCGTCTTCAACGTCGGCCACTTCCGGTTTGAACACTAATCCACTTTTCATAACATCTTCGTCCTCTCCGGGAGCATCTTTATCTCCTAATTCTCCAAACTCTCCGGTCGTTATTTTTCCAACCGGCCAGTCTTACTACACTCCGACTGCGTTCGCTTCCGGCTACCAGCAGACGCAATCGACGGCTATTCCGTACGCGGTACATCCCTATAGCGAGTACATCTCTCCTTTAAATTTGCAGAATTCCATGGGGGTCCAGAATGCACCATCTCCACAGAGAGGGGGTGGCGAATCCGACTCGCCATCATTTGTGGTGCCCAACTTGCTACCTGGATCCTGTGGTCAGTATACCGGAAATACTTTTTTTACCAGTGGCAACAGTGTTAGTGGTAACGGTAATAATAATAATGGTAATAACACAAGTGGCAATACTACGAACAATACAAACAGCGCCGGTGCAGATGGCGCTAGTAATATGGATCTCGTTGATTTTAACACATCCAGCAATGATTATAAGGAAGGCCTGAGTGTTTGGGCATCTAAATTTCATGTTTTGTAATCTTTCCTATCGTTAAATAATGTTCTTTAAAACGTTTCGACATTTAATTATATCATTACAGAATAGATATTTCGTTGTTAATATTTCTGACACAAACGGTCGTGTAATTAGTTAACTTATAAAATATTATAAAGAGATTTTAAATTTTTAATTTCAACTATGTTATTAAAGATTAATAAATTTCTTGTTTTTGAGTTAATTTTTTCTTATTGCACACTATCAGGACCACATTCCAAAACTATTCAAACAATACTGCATATTCAGCATCACATATGATAACTAATTGATCTATTCCAAATGCTATACATCGTAAATGTCAGGATTTCCATTACCAAATTATACATTTTCATGTTCAATAGATTGAGTACAACATGAATCTTGTAACAAACTACAAGCCTTATTCACTCTATCAGGGCCACATTCCAAAAAATCGAACAATAGTGCCTGTTCTGTGTTACATATGATAAATAATTGGTCAATCCAAGATACTATATATCAAAAAAAGATAAAAAGGAGTTGTCTACTCTTAACTTAACTTATACCTCAATGGTATACTCCGTTATTCGTCTTTTACAAAATTCCTCTTTAAATTGTTCTATTGGCTTGCCACAGACGCACATCAGTCTAATCTGCAATCAACAGCTAAAAAACTTCCGGAATTTTAATTTCATTTTGTAAATAATATTGCGATCGTTCTACCCCCGGATTAGTGTTCCGTCAAATCCACAAAGTTGAAAAACATGAAATGCCACAATAATACCTAAACGGATTATTCACTAAAATTGTTCAATCGTTTGCAATTTAAAAAAGACTAAAAATAATGGTACTCCAGCCACTTGAGTTCAGCGAATGTTTGACTGACAGTCCGTACTTTCGGGAGAAATTGTTATGCCACGAGAAAGAACTGGAGAAGACGAGCAAGGCCATCAAAGGATTAGTGAAGGAGTGTCAGGATTTGATGACCGCTGCAATCCGTCAGTTTGATAAAATTGAATTTAAAAGTTTCCAATTCAAATTTCTAAAAGTTAACTTTGTGAATATTATTTTACTATTTTATTTTCACTTTTGAAATAAATTTTTTTTTACAAATTCAGAATTATCCAAGGCCCAGAAAAACTTCTCAAAATTGTTGATGGACTTCGAACTTGAATGCATTGGCTCTGAAAAAACTGACGATGAAGTCATGATAGGTGGGTGGGTAGGAGGTGTTCCTAATTTTTTGTAATAATTATTTGATATTTTGTTATAATTAAATTTATTTATTTGTATTTTATATTTTAAATTTAATCCTGGGTGCGTTTCATTTTTATACCATGTTTTTTTCTGTTGCCTACAGAGGGATCTCTAAGAGAATTTGGTCGAATTATTTCATTAATTGAGGAGAGTCGATCTGCCATGGTTAGGAAATTATTTTTATCATATATAATCACTTTTATTTTGTTTATTATTTTAAAAAAATGAGAGTATAATATTAGTTTTAATTTTATATTAATTAACAATAATAAAATATACAGTATTGAGGGTAGATGTAAGTGTTATAACATACAAGTACGCATGCATCTATTTTAAAATCACTATTTTACTAATCACCAATTTGTTAATGGACCCACCCAAAAACATTTTCAAATAGATCGAAAGAGTTCAAAATGCTGTGCTCGTTCCGTTAGATAAGTTCAGGAAGGAAAAAATTGGGGAAGCAAAAGTGAATTTAAATTTTAAAATTATACCGTTTGTTATTTAGTATACTAATAACTTTCTATTTATAATGAGAAATCTAATAGATAATATTGATTTCAGTGCATGATGTAAGATCTAATCAATGAAATTTAAGCTATGTGGCATCAAATTAAAAACAGATTTTTGCTTTAAGGTAAACAACATTACACACAAACACACACATACGCACACAGATATACATGTCTCTTAAATTGAATCATTATACTAAAATAGAAATTTGTATACAAGCAAACACACATACATACATACATACATACATACATACATACATACATACATACATACATACATACATACACATACATACATACACATACATACATACATAAAGATATATAAATGTGTGATAAAAAAAGCATATTCAACAAATATACAAACATATATACATACAAACATACATGCATGTACACAGAAAAGCAGACAGGTTTTTGAGAAACAGACAAACAAATTCTATCAGACCCAAGAGAAGTACTTGCAATTGAAGCCAAACAAAGTAACGGAGCAACAACTGCTAGATGTTTGTATATTTGTTTGTTTGTACACTTGTGTGACTATGCTTGTTTGTTTGTCTGTATGTACTTACGTATGTATGTATGTAAGTACGTATGTATGTATGTACGTACGTACGTATGTATGAATGTATGTATGTATGTTTGTCTAAGAATGCATGTATGTTTGTATTTAATAATACTAATAGCAATAGCACAAAACCAAATGGGATGGTATAGGACAGCACTGTCATTAATATTGGTATTAGAAGTAGTTCATCATAATTGCTTGGCCATTATATATTGCAGTCTAACTTGTGATGTTTTTGTAATAAAAACAAGACTCATAACAACAACAACAACAATAATAATAATATTATTAATAATAATAATAATATTCACATAACTTTTATTATTTATTATTATCATAATAATTGTGTAAAAGTCCCATGTCAGTCAGCGTTATCATTTTTATTGCTGTGAATATTATTTATTCATAAACGTCTGATTAATCTCAATTTATTGGTGGATTGATTGGTTTTATTGGATGGCTGTTTGTTAATTGTTAACTTTTATATCTGTGCGTACGTGCGTGTGAGGGTGTGTGTGAAGCTGTGTGTGTATCATCAACAACAAGTGCAACATCATCATCAACATCATTGTCATTATCAACAACAACAACGTCATTATGACGTCATCGTCGTCTCCAGGCCGATGCAACGTTAGAGTTAGAGAGGCATAGTTTCTGTCAGGATTCTATGACATACGTACTAAGACTACAAGAGGTTCAAGAGAAAAAGAAATTCGAATTTGTCGAACTGGTTATTATTATTATTATTATTATTATACATACACACAAGCATACACATACATACATACATACACTCACACGCACACATACCAACACATATATACACTGCAATAAATACATGCATGTGTTTGCTTGTTACTGATGTTAAATAATTTAAGTAAGATAAGTATTTGCTATAATTGTTCGTTTTTGTTGATGTTGTTGTTGCATGTTTAATGTCATTAATGTTGTTGTTGTTGTTGTTGTCTATTTCATATCATTAATGATTCAGCGTTGATACAATCATCAACATTATCCCCTTATATGACAGCTCCTTCAGTTTATGTACAGCTGGCTAACATTCTATCATGAAGGTATATCATGATACATATACATCTCAATGATACTTTTTTTTCAGTATACATACATACATGCATACATACAAACATACACACATACATACATTCATATATACATTCATACATACATACATGCATACAGGATATGAATGTTACAATGACTTTCAGCCATCTATGAAAGAACTTAGTTCAAATCTACAAAAAGTTTGTGTATATATTATCTTTAAGTTTGTATAAATAAATATATACTAATGAATAAACATAAGTATATAGTTTTCTTAGTAATCCTGCTTACAATTGCCCATCCCTTTTTTTCCTAATCCCTAATTTTTCACTGCCAGTGTCGGGCGAATTTTGATTCAACTCGTAGTGAGGCAGAAAGTTTGATGAAAAAGATGCTGGATGTTAGAAATGTCGGTAGTTTTGTACGTCTATCTGTCTGTCTGTCTGTCTGTCTGTCTGTCTGTCTGTCTGTAATGATGGTCGGATATATGCTATCGTGTTTGTTTGCTTGTTTGTTTGTTTGTGTGACTGATTGACCGATGCATGATCGTTCAACGGCGTAAATTCATCGCGAAATTATTTTTTCAGAATAAGAATGAACACATCATGAACAACAGGCTGCTAACCAAAGTTGGATACCTCTTCATGTTTGAAAAAAGTTTGTACACTCCTTTTGTACACTCCTTTTGTACACTACTTCACCTTATGTACGAAACAGCAGTACACTTTTGTACGCGCTGCACACATACATAGATTATATGATACACAAATATGTATTTATCTGCTTGTATTCATTCACGTATATGTGTATTTTGGCTGGCATACATGTATACATACACGCATACGTACATACACTTCAATAAAACATAATTCATCCACTCATTCATTCATCTATTCATCGGATAATAGATGAATAATATGAATAATATGGATAATAATAGAATGATAATAATAATTATTAATAATTTTTATATTATTTTATATTTAAATATTATTTTTATTATAATATACAAATAATATTAATGATCATAATTTTTTTTTGTAGAAGCCTTAACAACTAGTTGGACAAAATATTATTGCGAGTATAACAAGGAGCAGAAGATGCTGTCGATAATACCATACAACCAACAGACAGGAAATACAAAAGTCTGCGAGGTACTTATGATTCTTTGTGATCATTGTGGAATTATAGTTCTTTGTATTCACTGTGGAATTATAGTTCTTTGTATTCATTGTGTAATTATAGTTCTTTGTATTTATTGTGTAATTATAGTTCTTTGTATTTATTGTGTAACTGTGTAAGGTTTTTGTAGGGTAATGTATGTGAAATAAAATGTCTGTACTGTTTTTGATTAGGAAGATTTAAAAATTTTTTTTGTTTTCTATTTAGGGTTGAAGTTTGGTTTGATTGAATGATTGAGTAAATGAACGAACGAACGAACGAACGAACGAATGAATGAATGAATGAATGAATGATAGACTGATTGAATGAATGGATATTTGCAACAGACCAATGGATAAACCATCTAACAAAAATAGCACAAATGTTTAACTATAGACCTTTAACTAATCAGATTGATAATAATAATTATTATTATAATGATAATGATAATAATAGTAATAATAATTATTATTAAAATCATAATAATATTATTATATTATGAAGACTGCAAGAGAGTCATATACACTGACATCATGCACTAGAAGAGCTGGCGAAAGCATTGAAAGGAGATTTTGCTTTGACGTTACCGTGCATGAAAAGTTCGTTATAATTATAATTAATTATTATTATAATATTATTATATTATTATTTTTGTTGTTTATTATTATTAAGAGTTATTATTATTATTTTTTGTTTAGTTAATTATGATTAATTAAATCGAACAATATAAGAGATTGTACGTACATTTTATTGGCGGGGATATTTATTTTAGTGGTAGTTGACAAATAATTTTAAGTTTGGCGTTTCGTATTTATTTTTATATTTATCTTTGTTATCATTTATTTATAATCTTTGTTTGGGGTGCAGGAGTCAGCCGCTTACGTTCCAAGCAAACTCCGAAGATGATAGGAGATCGTGGCTGGAAGCGATGGATGGACGAGAACCTGTTTGTTAAGTTCATTCATTCATTCATTTATTCATTCATTCATTCATTCATTCATTCATTCATTCATTCATTCATTCATTCATTCATTCATTCGTTCTTTCATTCGCCGACGCTCATTCTTTCATTTTTTCCTCTTCAGATTTACTCAGAGCCACCTGGTAGTAATCAGCTTGGAAGTGTGTATTTTTACTTTTAAATATACCCATTCGTTCATTCACTCGTTCATTCACTCGTTCATTCATTCATTCATTCACTCCTTCAATCAATCATTCATCCGTTAGGCCTGCTGGATGACATTGGTTTCAGTTTCATCAAAAAATGCATCCAAGCAATCGAAATGAAGGGTATTTTCGCCACTTTATTTAACAATAACTGTAATAATAGCAACAACAACAACTATAATGACAACAATGATAATAATAATTATAATAATAATAATAATATAATTATTATTATTGTTGTTGCAGGCTTACAAGATGAAGGGCTATACAGAGTTGTTGGAGTCAATTCGAAAGTCCTCAAACTTACTGCAAAGTTACTAGGTCGTACTGTAATCTTTAATTTAATAACAACATCAACAATAACAACATCAGCAATAACAACAACAACAACAACAATAATAATAATAATAAAAATGATAATTAAAATATTAATGATAAGGATGATGGTGATGGCTTGATGATGTATGTTCTTCTGTTAACTTTGATCTTGCTAACACCATCCACAATGATATTACACTCATGTCATCGTCATCTTCATCATCTTCATCGTCGTCGTCATCTTCATCATTATCATCTTCATCGTCATCATCATCATCATCATCATCCGTCTAGACAGGAAAAAGGCCGACAAGATTGACCTTCTAAATGACCCAGAAGGTGATTGGGAGATGAAAACTATCACAAGCGCTCTAAAAAATTATTTCAGGTTAGGATTGCCAAGTTTCCTGCTTCTATTTTTAGTTTATGTTAATTAGGTAAGTGCTCTTAAGTTATATTAGCAGCTAGCAACTGAGTAAATGCGTTAATTTATTAATTAGTGAATAAATTATGTTAATTAGATGTTTTCCTTGCAGGGCTCTCCCCGAACCACTGCTTACTTTCAAGCTGCATCACAAGTTTATCAAGGCTGCAAGTACGTTGAGACTGTTGCTGCTGCTGCTGCTGATGGTGGTGTTGAGGATGATGATGTGGACGATGATGAGGATGATGGTAATGATAATGATGTTGTTGTTGTTGGTGATGATGGTAATGATGATGATAGTGATGTTGTTGATGATGAAGGGAATGATGACGACGACGTCGACGACGATGATGATTAATAACAGAGCAGGAGTCAAAGACCCTTCGAGTGAACGACATACACGAACTCGTCCACCAGCTACCAGAGTCCAACTTCGAAATGCTCGAGTTACTCATTGCCCACCTCAAAAAGTACAATTACTTGATCATTATCTTGATTACAGTTTGCTATTGATGAATTCGAAATTGAAATATTTCACTCGACAGAGTGTCGGAGTATAGTTCGAAAAATTTGATGGGCGTCTCGAACATCGGGGTTTGCTTTGGACCCACCCTGATGAGACCCGAAGAAGAGACCATGGCCGCCATCATGGACATCAAATTCTGCAACCTGGTCGTAGAAATATTGATAGAAAACTACGTAAAAGTATAGTTTTCTTGCTTCCTTTCATGGTCACTAAGTAAGGATGAATTTAGTGAATGCTCTGATTATTTTACGCAGATTTTTAAAACGCGTCCTGAATTTGCCGATCTTTCAAATTCTCGAGTACTAGACAGACCGCTCAACCAGCCGAACTTTGCACGGCCTCTGCCCAACACACCTCTCAACTCCTTCACCTCGCAGCAGCAGCAGCTGAAAAATCTTCCAGTTATTACTTCTACATCATCGCTCATGTCGAACAGCGCTTTTGAAGCGAATGACGCGCCTTCTAACGCTGCGACACCAGTTACTGTTCTTAGACAGACGAATAGTAGATTCACGACAGTAACGACGACGACGAATACGCCTGTTCAGCCATCGCCCATGTCATCAAAAGAAGCTCTAGTGGCTCCGTACAATCAGATCATGCGCAACCACAACCCAGCCAATCGCAATCAGTCGCAGCAGCCGCAGCCATCTAGTGGCAGCCAGCCACGATCGATTTCTGCGTTTGCCAGCCCATCCTTACAGCAATCTTCCCATTCGTTGACCAATTA